CCCATTATTATTTCTCTTCTACCTGAGATCTCTTTCTTCGATGCGACAGTTTATAATCCTGATGCATCCTGTTTTATTTGCACGCTAAGTGTTAACATGTTCATCGATTTCAGTTATTCCTAAGTACAATCTCCAACCGGAAAGGCATTGATTGGTCCCAGGAGATACGATATTTCGGGTCGCTCTGTTAACTGCGTGCACAGTGGCTGGCCACCCTGATTGAGGTTCTCAGGGCGGCGAGAATGAAGATGGCTCTCTTCTGGACTGTAGTGTAATGTAGTCTGGTAGAAGTTTGCCGATGTTTCAGAGGTACTTCTTGTCTCCATTATCAGGGTGATCCGCTGGCGATGAGGGCAGAAGGCTATAATTTTTAGTATGACTTTACTTCAGCAATGAAGATGGAAACAATATGTTTCTTCGAAACGTTGGCATTTACCTACTAGTCTGCACAACATTAAAATACATAAGAGCAACATTATAATCCTCACCACCATGAAAACCTCAAATCTTACTGTACATCAGTACTGTAGAAGCAGTTTTAAATCTTTTAAATGCTGTCTGGAAGTTTAGATGTTTTTCCCTCATTGTGTGACCGTAAGCATAACAAGAACACTAAAGAAACGAGTGCTTAATTTTTTTTATAGTCGTGACACCTGGTACTGATCCTCCTTTACGAATCAGGTAGAGATGCACAGGAAAACAACGCGTAGTAATTATGAGATTGTTTTAATCTTGGTCCATGAAAATGTAGTGTAATCTTCTCGTTGTGAAACTTTTAATAAAGAATACATTTAATTTATTAAGTATATGCAGGAACTCTAAAAATATTTGCTGCAGAAGTTAAGTTTAATGCCAATAAAACTTTCATTTATCGTACTTTTTATTTAGTAGAATTATATAAATAAATATTAGAAGAATTAAGTTAGAATTGCCTATAAACAACAGTGGTTGTTAATAAACTTAGCAGAAAAAGTTACGATAAGTCACACAGAACGACGTGGGTGGTATATACCGTGTTTTAAATTCGGCCAAGTGCAACACCGAAGAGTCTCAACCCTCCGCCATAAACCCATCAGCAAAAATGTAAGACGAAGCTAAACGGAGCAGCTCTACCTTGTCTTTATAATGCTGCAAAAGTGCCATTGCCGAAGGGAAACAAATATCCCTTGTTTTCATAACTACCTTATTGGGCGCAACTCGCATGGGTTTATATGCCCTTAAAATGAATTGTGTCACTTCCTTAAGACGCCAGTCTAAACCTGTGTACTTAAAAGGTGTTGCCCATGTTATATACACATTGGTAATGCCCAAACAGTACCAATTTCTGCGATATGAATAATAAACTAATATCAGAGAACAGAACTTACTAGACGCGGAAGGACGAAGCAGCGAAGGGGCGTGTCTTTGTTTTCTTAACCTATATTAATTAAACTGGCTTACATATAATGACGTCGGACCACGCCCATACCACTCAGACGCCAGAGAACGTGTCGAGGGATGTTCTGGTAAAA